ATTAATGGGGCAGTGGCTAAGGTGTAGCATTCTGCCTTTCTTACCACTGTTGGACTCCCAGATGAATTCACCCCTTTTACGTGGCAGACCTTCCTATTTACATGAGCCTATAGGCTCAAATGAACTGCAAGAACTGTAAAAGGGGAGGCACAATGCGTAGGAGTTCAGATCCCGAAACCAAGCCCATTAGGCGATCCCGAACCAAATCATCTGAAGAAATGGATGCTTCAGCCTGGATAATAGCTGTCCCTCCCGTCAAGGGTATTACGTAGGTGAACTGCTCTCTCAAATGTCACCACGATTCTAAGTGGAATTTAAATGCGACGGATATCGGTATTGCGATTGTGTAGCGATAAAAAACGTCGTCCTCATGTCTTACGAATATAATCGAATTTCAAAGACATGGCGCATCCATCGAAAATTCCTACACTACTTGCAGGTACACATGAACCGCGCTCTTTTCCTTCTCATCATGTTTGCTATCTTTAACATAACCGTCAGTCAATTCTATCTTTCCACTTGTGCCAGAATGGACGTATTCCTTCTGGATAAAGCTGCTAGAGCAGCATGTATCACGTCGTGCAGCATTCAGGTATCTGTTTTATTGGAACTATCATTGATTTCTACAAAAACACCATCCTATTCTGAATTTTCAGAACTGCGGAACGGGATATTGCAAGAAAAGAAGTGGACGAAAAACATGCGTATGCTACCGTTGCGCCAATGGTGGAAACGTCCCACTGGATTCTCTAGTGGGTAAGAAAGGAAAATGAAATCACCGGAGCCAATGGATAAGGCCAAATTGGATTCTCATAAAAAATTAATAAGACTTTCTGCTGTCTGTCTATTTGTCCAAGCCTCCGATGAAAATGGTTCTCTACGATGCTTGAGTACACGCGAGATATTCGGCCTTGGACGGGGCTCGATCCTGACCTTGTACTGATTGTGAGTACAGTTAGCGAAAAAAAAACAACAACAGAGATGTCTGTCCAAACTCGATCATAAACAAAATTTTGCCGAAACAGAGCCACTGCGGCAATTTCTTTTAAGAATATATATTTATTTATTCACTTATTTACTCATTGCAAAAGTGCAGCCTAACTGGTATAGGGCATATGTAGGTAGCAAAGAGACAAGGATATGAGAAGACGAAATTCCTGGTAACTGTCAATCTTCAAAAGCTAGTCAGTAGAGCGAAGGAAAGTTGATAACCATCGTAACTGCTCTAGTTGGCTTTACTGCCCTTATTGTATAAGTACACATAAGACAAAGTCGGAACGTTAGACAATGAGCGGGTGCATCAAGAACTTTTGTGGAACAGAATTGTATGCTACAGGCTTGCTCAAGACATGGTCACCTCGGACTTCTCGATTAAGTGGTCGGAAGTGGGACTATGAAAGCGAGAGTCGAGGGGATAAATTCTTCGTCCTGGCTATGCCGGGATGAATAATCCTTTAGTCTAGGCTGAATGCGAGAGAGTTCGCTTTCGAGGAAGTAACCATGACAGGGTGTTCACTCTACATAGAATTTAGCCGTGCCTAAGGTTTTTAACATGTAGGGACCCCTGGCCAGCAATTTATCTTTATCCGGTATTTGGGATTACCTCGCTCAGTCTCGCTATCAGCTTGCTGGCTCCTTTAGTCCCTTCCCTTCACCCCTTTCTTCAGCAAGGGAGGAAGACAGTATGCGGTTTTATCCCATATTTTTTTTTCATGAAGTCTGGAGGCTATCTAGTTATTCACTCAATCAACGACAGCCGCTGAGCTGGTTTCTCAAAAAAATTCACCGTCAAAAAGTCACCCAACAGGGTGGCGCGATCCATTAAAAAAAGGTACTCGGTCAATTATGGCGGCGGAAAGGAAGAAACTCCGATGGTTGGCATAAATTTACCTTTCGCGACCGCCCTCGAAGAAAAAACGTGGAGTTATCTAGGACATTAACC